TGGCTCATCTTTGCGAAGTCTTGGTGCCAGGTGATTTTTCTAAAACAAACAAAAAAAATTAACAATTATGTGTTTTTAAAAGGCCAGATTAAATGGGGAAATACCTTTAATTACATCCTCTAGTCATATACACCTGTTAAAAATGTTGCCCAACCAAAATCATTTTATTCTTCCTGTAAAATAATGGTAAATGGGTAAATGACCTGACTTGTATAGCGCCTTTCTAGTCTTCCGTCAACTCAAGCGCTTTTAACATACGTGCCACATTTCACCTTTCACACAAACATTCACCACAGCGATGCAAAAGTCCCATCGAATTCAGAAAACCCTAACTCGTCATAACCACACCTCACACCACACCGATGCTATGCATCGGGAGCAATTTGGGGTTCAGTATCTTGCTCAAGGATACTTCGACACGTGGCAGGAGGAGCCAGGGATCGAACCAACAACCTTATGGTTGGGGGACGACCCGCTCTGCCTCTGAGCCACAGCCGCCCCACAGCCGCTTTACTGTGTACCTTAGGCATCTGCCATAGCAACCCATTGTTACTCCCAAGTCATCAAATACTGCCTCTTGGTTGGTGGCCCTCCGCTTTCAAATTTGATGCTGTAGGTATTCCTCTAACATAATTTGTGGATGCACCAGCCATCGAAGTCAGGTAACGTTGTGTAAAGAGCAAGAAAGTACACATATGGAGGTGGTGGGGTGGATGGATGGCTCAAATAGAGGACTTTAACCCAGGATAATGCTGCTGGTGTCCCATGTGAAGCCAAAATAGAGTATGTAAATTAATTCATCAACCATTCATCAATTAATATACCTTTGTTATGTCAGGTATGTTCAACAAGTTACACTTTAGGTACGTAACATATCTTATGATCTTTCCGTAAACCTAAGGAAGTAGTTTTTGTGTCTAAACCTAACCAAACTGCGACTGTTTTATAACGGTAACCACGCAAATTTTATTTTGAAAATCTAACCGGACATTGCATTTTTTAGTTGCGTGTTCCGCCATGGGAAAGGAATTAGAAATAATGGCCACAATTAGGGAATTTATGGTATTTCCTTTATTTTATCCACATTTTCCCATAGCCTGAACCTCTCTGCTATGGCTAAGCTCTTTTTGTGTCTTATCTAATCTGCTATTTGAATTGACTAAGCGCACTTCTAAAGCACACCTCTTTCAATAAACATAAACAGCATCAGGGGCCCTTGATCCCACTGCTAATGAATATTAAATGTTCTGACTGCAGCATCAATCCCTGTGTCAGGGGCACAGGGGCTAATGGGGAGGCAAGGAGGTTGAATGTTATGGGAGCTGTATAAGCACCTCCTGCACACAAACACACACACACACACACACAGTGCATCATTAGTCTGTATCTTCCTGAAGCCTTCACTGTGTGTGCTTGTGGTTCTATTGTTCACCATTGCAGTGCAACTATTACTGCTTGAAAACCAGTGTTTTTGCATGTTTTAATAATAATGCTGTTTGATTTTTAAAACCACGCTGATTTCTAATTTTTTTAGTTGTTTATTCAACCTTCCAGACACTGTTAGTTTGATTCGAGCAATATAAGCCCACTTTTTTGTAAACTATAATTTTGTGTCTGTTAAAACTAAAAAAAGTTCTTTGACATCTGGTCTTGAAGGACCAGTATGAGTATGATTTATAAATTATTAATGCCTGCCCAACTTGTCCCAAGCACAGTTTTTTCCCATTTGAAATATTAGTATAATAATTTCAAACTTTTCATCTCAGCTATATATTAATTTACATAAAGAACCAGGGAAGATGGAGTAAGAACAGTCATGTTTTGCAGCCTAAAGCAGTTAAGTGTACATGATTTGTGTTAATTTACTAAAATGTTATAGATTTAAAAGATTATTTTTGCTTTTCTTCAATACGCTTTAATGCATCTTACTGGCTTTTTGGAGTTTTAAAAAGTTTTCATGTCACTGGGTCCAAACCTCAGGTGTTTGAGTATAGTTTAAGCATTATTTATTCAGAAAGTCTCACTGAGATCAATATTTCTTTCACAGAGACCAAATTATGTGAAAGTGGATACATTCCCCAAATTACAAGTTACAGTGAATGTCAATATGCAGATAAGATTATGTTGCTCTATGTCAGATTTGACCAACCTTTGACTTTTTTGTTAATTTATTAGATGAAATTACTGTTAAAGTATTGTAAAAGGTATTTATCTATGCAAGAATCATAAATGAATAAATTAATTAATATGCAATTAAATCTGCAGCAGTTCATTTTTATAAAAAATATCTGTTTATCATATTTGCTGAAATTTTGACTATATCCTGGCAGTAGTACACAGTACACAGATAGACAGATAATCTGTACTAAAATCAGGAAGAACCTGATTTTTTGCGTCTCATGTTCTACTGTCAGGATATAGTGAAAGTTTATGACAAAAAGTATGAAAGTTATCTACTGCAGCTTTGAATGTACCTAAAATATTTTATAAATGTATAAAATCTTAATTGATATTTCTGTTTTATTTGCTTCTAGCTGCTTCTGGCCAGCAAGCAATGCACATAAAGTTGATCCATGCGCTCCAATGGCAAACTGATGACCATATGATGGACCTTGAATGACAGTTTTGGGAAATAACAAGGCGGGAAATACAGAAATATATATATATATATATATATATATATATATATATTAATATATCTAAACATGATAAATTAATGATAAAATTAAATAAGGAAGCTAAATAATAGGCAGAATTAATACAAAGTCAATTTAACACAGATTAGAAACAGAAAGTATCCATTTATGCCACATATGATACATTAATTAAAGCATTTAATTGGCATTATTAATTTAGTTATTAGAGTCCATGTATCATTTATTGTTTATTTTGGGAGCGTTTTGGTTTCCTCGCAATAGAGCAGTAAATATCAAAGGGGGAAGGTCAAGGTAATTTCCCCCGGGGGAATTATTAAAGTATTTCTGATCTGATATGTATTTGCACCAGTAAAAAACGGTTTTCTTTGCCTCTTGGTTAGAGTGCAGCTTGTGCCCTGTTCTCAGTGCCTGTTGATGTTTGTACCTCTATTGTCTCTTTGCGGGGGCCATAATCTGAACATGTGAGCAGTTATCTGCCCCCCCAAGCTGAAGGTGAAGCCGTGTGTGAGTATGGAGGGTCGCGGATGCTTGCATGTGCATAGCAACAGGGCAGAAACCACAAAGATGGCGGTCTAGCATGCAGTGTCATACCAGTAAATAATACTTACATAAATATCTGCACCATAAAATCCATCCTGGTAAACAACACTGCAGAGGATGCAAACACAAACAAACAGACAAACAAACACAATAAAACAAAAACATCCATATTAGTGCATGTTGCGTGCAGGCACTGGGTTTGCTACCAACCAACCCCCATCTCTACAATCCAAAAAACAACCCAAAAAAGACATAAGAGGGGCAGAGGCAAAAGGGAAATACAGCAGGCACCCCTCTCTGCACTCTAATAGCTGGGTAAGGAGGCTGGGAAGGTCCAAAAACACTTGTTTATAAATATTACACAGCTAGTCCAATCAGCAGCATTAAATTTAAACTGAGGCTCAAACATTTCTAGCAATGCAAGCCAGTGTAGGGAAAAAATATTTCCCATGCCATATATCTAACTATAATTAATTTAGAATAATTTTAAAATGACATGTTAAAAAACAGGAATTAATTGAATGAATGATCTGTTACGGCCACATTTTAGACACGTAAAAAAAACACGTATTTGGAAAAATTTCGCAAGATTTGTAAATAAAACAATGTATTAATTTCTAATGCCACCTTTAGATATTTCTATTCAGTGCTTTACTAATGTGCCTCAAAAATTTTTTTGAGTTCAAATATCTTCATTTGGTGGCTTTTCCAAACAAATATTGACAAATGTGATTGTTTGTGATTAAATCAGCAAATATTTCTGCCACCAAGTCTCTATGCCACCCTCTGGACACCTCATAAACATTTCTCTAGATCTACAGGGACATGGCTATCAAATGTGCAATTTTGCAGATTAGAAAGGTATTTTGAGGATTAAAAAGTACAGAAAATGTGTTTTTGGGAGTTTTAACTTAAGCTGAATTATGGAGGACAGGAGGATCCAGTGCAATAGGACAGCAGTGTTAATGTTGATATCAGCAGGTCAGTTGGGGCGTCTAGCATGAAGCAAGATTAGTGGGTTAGTCAGCTATCTTTGGGCTTAACTTGGGTTTTCTGGTATCATGAAGCCGTCTCATCTTTAACTGGGGGTACACCACCACAAAAGGTAAACACATAGGTACATAATTAGTGTTTAAAGTAAACATGAGATGTTCTATCTAGGGCTGTATATTGGCAAGAGTCTGGCGATATATTTTTGTAACTCTTTAATATGAATGTATTTGAGCACTAATACAATTATATACTGAATGTATAACTTTCGACAGCACAATAACTATGATATAAACAAATGTATAATATTAATATTTCAATTTGCAGGTAAATAAAAACAGAGAATTTTGTTTTAAATGTTTTGATGTTGTATCTGAGAGAGAGTGTCCGCAGCTTGACCCTTTTCTCACTTTTTCCCCTACTTCCCACGGCCCTGGATCACCATGGTAACCTATGCTGCACANNATCTGTCTGCCAGCACCCCGACCGCCGTCCAATCAGCTCACTGGAAAAAAGGAGTCATTGTTCCTCCGGGATTGACTTTAAAAAAAAAGTGCCAAGTAAAGAGGAGTTGGAAGTGGGGTGCTGTGATATGAATGCTGGAGTTTAAAAAAATAGAAATCTCATAATCTTTCTCATTTTAATCATTATAAAAAGCCTTTTGTAGTGAAATCTGTCTGAAATCTGAGCTGTATACATGCTGCCTGAGATTAGAGCTGTAACCTTGGCCACCCACGAATGATGGAGAGGGACTGAATTGGCACGTCCAATACAGAGAAGAACAGCTTCCCCAAAATCATGTCCCCCCATTCAAAGATAATATATGAAATATATATATATATATATATATATATATAAAACATACAGCTCTGTAAAAAAAAAGTTAAGAGGGGACCACTCGAAATTTTTTTAAATTTAAATTCAGGCATCTCTACATGTTATGGCAGCCTTCCAACACCAAGCCACACCTCATTACTTAATGGAGGTACTAATTAGGTGAATCCACCTGAAACCAAATCATATTTAACGAGGAAAAGTATAAAAACCACTGGTTGTGGTCATCACTATCCTCAAAAAACTTCGTGCTATTCAGTACCTCAAAACTAATTGGAATCAAAACTGACTATTGACCATGCCAAAAGAGTTGGAAAAGAAAGGTTTTGAGTGGATGGAAAAGGAAGAGTTTCAGATTCTGGCTTTACTGGCAGAAGGATACAGTCCGGCATCAGGGTTGCTTCCATCCTTAAAATTTCAAAGGCGGCGGGCTTCATAAGAACAACGTCAAGCAAGCAGACCATTGGGGACAACAAAGCTACAGACTGGCAGAGGGGCAAAAACGACTCTCCCACTTTGACTGGGATGACCGCCAACTCATTCGAATGTCACTCAACAACTGTAGGATGACATCAAGTAACCTACAAAAAGAATGGCAAATGGCAGATGGGGCGAAGTGCACGGGGAAAATAGGATCTTAAGGGCACCTGGTCGTCTAATGGTTAGACAGAGACTTGGAGAGGCCTACAATCCACAGTGCCTCGCACCTACTGTAAAATTTGGTGGAGGATCGATGATGATCTGTGGGTGCTACAGCAAGGCTGAAATTGTGGAGTAAACTTGCTTCCTTCTGTTCTGACAATTTTCCCCAACTCCAGCAGGACAATGCTCCATGCCATACAGCCAGGTCAATCAAGGTGTGGATGAAGGACCACCAGATCAAGACGTAAAAGACCCTATCTAGTCAGTGTTTAGTTTGTCCATTCTGTTTATCCTAAATCCACCAAAGGTTAGCCTTAAATAAGGCCTTATTTGCATATTTAAACAATTTTTAGAAAAAAATTTGAAGAATTTCAGAGAGATTGTAATACAAACAATAATTTGGCAAAGTTTCATAGTGATATCTATTAGTTAAAAAATATTACCACCAATGTTCACCTGCAGTGTCTCCCCTGACAAAAACACATCAACAGTTATCTGAGAGCACTTCAAAAGTCTCTGCAGGTGAAAATCCAGGCGTGTATCTCTAACCACATGGTTCCTCACCTTAACACTGAGTGCTGGGGATAAGGTTGCTGACAAACACATATGATCATATGTCACTACTCTGTGTGGTTCTCTACTCTTGTCTAATGATATGAAAGCACTGTATGACCAGTAGTGCTAAGAGACTCCCCATCTCTCTTTCTGTACATGTGAGTGAGAGAGAAAGCGTTCCTCATCCAGCTTCCAATAAAACGAGCAGGATGTCAACACTGCATTATGATGGAGCTCCCTTTAACATGAAGAGCTCCTCAGAGGACCAAACTTCCAATTTCACCAGCCAATAGACTGCTTTTACACCATTTGTGCTATCTCTGATAATCAATAGCTTCTCAAATGTCAAGATGTCCCAGAGAGCTGTTGGACTCATTAAATGTATTCCATGGGACTGCAGAAAAGCTGCATGCACACATTGGCTTATTGATATTATAGGCTGCCCTGTAAGGTCCCCCTACAGACATGAAAGAATATTTCATGAAAACACACACACACAGACACAAAGCAAACTTGGTTTCCTTGCCGTGTCACAGGATTTATTTTGAGTCATCTTGCCGCCACTCGAGACAGTTTTAATAAAAATACATCACGGTCCACATTAATAATTCACCATCTGACTGCCACCGGGGCAATTAAGCGGTGCAGCAGCGTTAATGAAAGTACAATCTGTAGCACATATCTCTTTGTCAATACCATGCCCGAGTGTTCACCCAAACATCTATCTTCCTCATCCTATGTGATGGTTTTTCGTCTATAGAGATGCTCACAGTGACATTGTTCTTAGTGGGTGAAGGTTCTATTAATTTATCCAACAGAAAGCCTTTGGAAAACAGGAACACACCCACACATGCTTAAAAAAAATCTGTACAGGATGGAGAATGTTTTTTGCATTGGGTTATCTCAATTTTTATGCACTGATAAAAAATCTACCATATATTGTCTCCTAGTTGCTTCTAAGCAGGCCTTCATTCGAAACAGGCTTGTATTGGAAGCAGGCCTTTAATTTAAAGTTAAACTTTTTACTTTATATTTTAGTAAGAAGCTGCTTCCATTTGCGTTTTATGTTGATGCTGTTTTAGTCGACACTTCCTCCATGTTGCCTTGATGAAGCCCAGTTTAATGTATTATTACAGCATGTTATACTCACCACTCTACCTGCCTCTGCAGGTAGTGCAAACATCTGTATGTTTCAAATTAAAAAAGCCTCCTATTGAGCTTTTAACTAGAAACCTTTGCAGCAATTGATAAAATTGAGACAATTGAAATGAATAGTGCTGTAGAAATGCATATTATGCTCAATTATGCAAACCATTATAGCATGTCATACAGTGTCCGATGGCAACTGAACTTTTGGGGCAAGAATTAAAATAGTTATTTGGACAATTAATTCACAACTTTTACTGTATACCCTTTGGATAAAATACTGGTCACCAGAGCTAGCGGTAAGAGGTAAGGGTACTCATGGACAAAAATCATAATACTGGTATACTGGTGAGAACTGGCCCATTTCAGGCACTGGTTTTCCATAATTTAAGCTTTGACATGGCTCTCTTTTAATTATGTGATCTTATTACGCTTTCTTCTTCTGCAATTGAGCCAAGACTGGAGAATTTGCGCAACCAACTGTTTATTTTAATCCACTCAACTCCTAATATTTGCATAATAGTAGTAGATTAAATCTCATAACGAATTTAGATGAAAATTTGCACTACATTTGGATGGAAACCTAGTGTCAGAAGGAGAAAAAACAAGTCCTAAATCCTTAAATAGACTCCCAGCCAGCCTCCTTAGTGTCCATTTGCTTGCAGTCATAAAGAGCAAAATAAACAGAATAATGGCAAATCAGATCTGACTGCCCACAATGCACAGCTCTGTTTGGCTCACCTCCAGATCCTTCAGCCATGGAGGATCAACCAGAGCTGTAGCCGGGGCTGGGAAAATGTTTTCTGTTTTTGTTTTCTTTCTTCATTCTTATTTCGGCAACTCAGTTTAAGTTAAAGTGGAGGACCTCCCATTCCACCATGTACACAGCCTCGCTCAATGACACCACAGTGCAAGGCCAAATTGACAATCATTTCCCATGAGTCCGTGCAAAGGCACAAGTCTTGGAGCATGCCTGTTGGTTGATTCAGCATGCTGTGGAAGTGTGTTATCGCTGTGAGGTGAGGCTAGCATGCACTTCTCCACTGACTCTGAGCACAGAGATTTAGGACTTGCCATTGGATAAGGGAAAGAGAGAGGGAGAGACCAAAGAGGGAGAAATGACAACAGGACAAGAGCGAGAAAGGAGGCTCACCCTCCGTAAGCTGGAATGTGGGGAGGCGGAGCAGCCGCCCTAAATGTGTTGTAAACGGTCCGTCCTCGACCTCGTAGGTGGGCTCCTCTGTA